CTTACTTACTTACTTACTTACTTACAATTAAACATTTTCTAGCTTTTGTGGGTGATTGATTCTATTGTGACCTGGATTACTATTATTACTATTTTTTGATGCAATTGTATTGGTAACTGGCTAGTTGCATTAATATGTGAAAATGGAAAAGGCATTTTCTATGAGATGGTTCATTTATTTAGTAATGTGTCTAACTGTACAACTATGAAAAAATAATACTTTTAAAGGTTTTGGAAGGCCCTTAATTTGGGAACTGAACGACACACAACTGTGTCAGGGATTAACAGCTTCCATGTCTACTCTACCCAAAATCACCATCATGTTTTGAAAATGTCTTGTTGCTTCAATACTTCTTCAAGGAAACAAGAGAGCTTCAGTTTCTTTAGTAGCATCAAATTATGGCTGACTATGTGAGTAGACGCCCAAATCCGATGACTGGGTCTTTCAAAAGAGCACTATTGGACCTCAAAAAGCACATTTAACAAGGACCTTTGTTGTAAGACTAACCTGCTATTTGTGGCAATTTTATCTGTTCTCATCTAAATCCTTCTAATAATTATTTGTAAATACTGGCAAAGGAAGGACATACTGGAGGGACTACATTTCTTGGCTGACCCAGGAATGCCCTGCATTTCCTCTGGAGGATCTTGCCCAAGTGCAATATGAGGGATTTTTAAAAATTGAAATTAGGTTCCACATTTATTGGTAAGTGTAAAGTGAAGATTCCAACTTCCAGGCATATTTCACATCTGCATTTTCTAATAGGCTTGTTTACATTAAAAATTTGAAAGACTGTTTAAGTTATTTTTCTCTAAATTTGACATGATTTTATATAAATTACTATTATTTTATTTATAATTTGATACCCATATAGCAGATATACAAAATAAAAAAGAACAAAATAAAATAGAAGTGTTTCACTTAATACAAAAAAAAAAAAGAGCCAATGATAAAAGTATTTCAGTTAATAGTTGTATTTTTATATTTCCAAGTTAAGTGCATCCCTGTTGTTAAAGGGCAGACTGAGTTGAAAAATGAGAGTTCTGAGAGATGTTGTCAGAGGCTGCACCTGCACACCGAGCTGAATAATGCACTCGGACCTCAAGGACACCTGCCGTAGCCTCTACATCTGGCTATCGTAGACACACAAAATAAACACACATGAACACGCAGTCATGGATTTCAGCACACTTTTAACCACGAAGCATGTACGCACAGATGCACTTTAAAAACGACAGAGATGCTTATAAAGGTTTGTGCACGCAAACGTACATATTCGCACACCTGCTGTGTTGAGATAAATGCTCCTAATTGGAGGTTTGAGGCAAAATTGCAAATCGTCTGTCAGACAGAGGAGAAAACAATCTTATTTCATCATAACTCTTCTTTTGCTCAGTTTCTGTGGGTGAGATGAGCAAGATCCGTCATTACAGATTCATATAGAACCCTCATTTCTCAAAAAAACGCCTGATTCTCCTGAGAGGGATGCAGCGGGGGGTGGATTTGAGGGGATAAGCTGAGTTTTTTTTTTTTTTTTGATCAGAAAAGACCCCCGATGCCTGGCACAGCTCCACCACGCTGCACTGGTATTACATTTAGCAAGATTGTTGGGTGAAATTGGGACAGTAAACAAGCTTATTTTACCCCTTTTCTTTTAAAGGAAATCATGTCATCTCAGCTGGAAAGGGAAAAAAAAACAACATCCCCTAAGTGATCACAGATTTAATTATTGATAGCTTTTCGCTGTTGAGAAGCCCATCAGTTGGTTGTCAAGCTGAAAGCAAAGGTTGACAGAGGGAAGAGAGGGAGGATCTTTCATATTTTTTATGTTGACAATTTGGAAGCAATTACACGAGAAAAAGCCTTGGTAAGAGACTGAGTGATGGGTGATGTGTAAAAGTCTTTTTTTTTTGTATTGTTTGTTTCTTAGAAATATGCGAGAGGTTGTGTTTCAAGGTTTGATAAAAAGAAAAAGTAGCGTCTTAGAGGTAAAGGGGAGAAAAGGAAAGAAAACTAGTCTGAGCCATCTTTGCATATTTCCTTAGCTTCAGGCTTCTGGCGTCTTGTGTTGAAACAGTAAAGAGCCTGAATCATTAATACTAGATGAGTTATATCACTACCATGCAGAAGCTGTCAGTCTGAGCAAGTACACAGCTCTACTACCAGCAGTTAAGGGTTCACTTTCGACAGTATCACCTGTGCTGCACTGTTTTTCACAAAACTCCAGCATGAGCCTTGCAATTTTGTCAGAAAAGAGCATGAAAGGTTTAATTATGCAAAAAAGCTTGTTTTAAAAGAACTTTAAAAGAAGTTATAACATCATAACTTTTATTATATCTTAATGAAATAATAAAAGTGAATAATACCTTATACAAATTCTTTAATTTACCCTCATATAGTTAAGAAAGTTTTACAGAAGCTTATTTTGATACTTGTATCAACAAATGTATATATATATTAAATGCTGCAGAGCAATGTTTTGTGTTCCAGCAAAGTTGAGATGTAGATTGCTAGCTGCATTGGAGAAAACAGCCCAACTACAATTGTAATGCAGTAATAATCAACCTATAATAAATCTTGATATAAAATAAATCAGTAAGCAAATTGTGAAGGCTTTGAAAAGCCTTGGGGTGTGACTCCACATTTTGCCTCATTTGGCGAATGAGAATCTATGAATATGCTAATTCGCTTCTGCCTATATCCCCAGGGTCAGCGGTTGACATTGGCCTTCATTGTCCCTTCTGACTGCAAAACTGTCTCTGTCTCGCTACTGCCACAATACAGCTCAGAAAAGGAAGACGACAACTAACGGTAAGCCAGCTATAATTTATTAAGAGATATCATTTAGAATTTGATGAAAAAAGACAAAATATACCTGTCTGAAATCAAACGTAAAATAATATATATATGGCAATATCCATCCATCCATTTTCTTTACACCCTTGTCCCTCAGTGGGGTCGGGAGGGTTGCTGGTGCCCATCTCCAGCTAATGTTCTGGGTGAGAGGCGGGGTACACCCTGGACAGGTTGCCAGTCTGTTGCAGGGCAACACAGAGACAAACAACCATGCATACACACACTCACACCTAGGGTCAATTTGGAGAGGCCAATTAACCTGATAGTCATGTTTTTTCGGACTGTGGGAGGAAACCGGAGTACCCAGAGAAAACCCACGCATGCACAGGGAGAACATGCAAACTCCATGCAGAAAGACCAGGGCTGGGAATTGAACCCAGAACCTTCTTGCTGCAAGGCAACAGCTCTACCAACTGCGCCACTGTGCAGCCCTATATGGCAATATGATAGTTGATAAACAATATGATAATATGATAGTTAGTTTAGCAACTATTAATGCTAGTGAGGCAAGATGTGTTTTGGGACACAGAACTGAGAGTTACTGTAAATAGCAAAATTACTTTTTTTGAGACTTACTGATGTTAAAGGCTACAACAGTTTAACTGTTTGCTTTGATGCCTTTTCAACGGTTTTTGTTTGCATAAAGTTGTTTTGATGTGCATTACTGTTTTGAACATCTTTTCAGCACTTTGTATATACTTGTGTAGTTCTGTAGCTGATTTTGTTACTGGTAGGAGAATTCATATGCTGAGTTGCCTAATGTACCACAACAAGATGAAATTCTGTTTCAGAATACAAAAACAGATACAATTTAACCCTTGTGTGTGCGAGGACTGAGGCAAACGTACGAGGACTGAGGCAAATGATACAAGTGATACGGGTGTGGGGTCGGTTGGACCCCATTTGTAGACACAAGGGATAAACTGAAAAATACATAATGCTTTCTCTGTTATGGACCTATCTTTAGCCATAGGCTATAGTATATGTTTCATAAACACTCTTTTTTCAGAGTAAAAACTTGAACTTTAAGTGTTGCTTGTTTTTAAAGTATTCCAAACAAAATGGTGAGAAAAACAGAAAGAAACACTTCAACTTTCACAGTGGAATTGGACAAATAGTACACATGACTTAGAAAAACATAAATTTTGAATGTGCAAAGTTAAAGGTAAAACTACTTCTGCATTCCCTGATACATTAACATGTTCGACACAACTCCCTTACATATTATACATTTTGTTGGGATCTGGTCACTGTCATGCTTCAAGATATTTTCTTCTTAACTTGACAGCCAATGTTTTAAAGTCTTATAAAGCTCTAATATCAACTCGTAATCTACGGGATAGAAAATGGTTATGCATTTCCAAACAGAAATACCTAATAGGCAGTTGCTGATAGGAACTTTTGTGTGCGAAGAGGCTTTATTTTTTAATTTCATGTTCGTTTGTGGATATGAAATTAGTAGAATTGGACATAATGGCTACAGGTGGCTACAAGCAGGTGGGTATGGATTAGTAAAGGAAAGAATTGATCCAGGGCCCATAATTACAGTTTCATAAACTACTGGATTTGCTAATGTTTACAGTCGAGTGATGCTGTAACATAGAGGATCAGAATTGTTAGTTTGTTCCTTTCTGCCAGATGTAGCCATGTCACAAGTTTGAGTGTGAAAATAATTAAGACTAGTAATGTGATGCTAGAGTAAGCAATGAATGCTGCCTTAACTAATTTCTTTGGCTCTGCAGTCACTGGAGAAAAATAAATCCAATTTTTACAAGAAGCATATCGACTCAATATTTTGACACTTGAATATTTAAGCAATTCAAACTATGGGAAAATGTGTTTGATTGAGACCTATATCTGTCTCAGTTTGGTGCTTTCTCAAATGTGACCCAAATGTCTTTCAGCAGGGGAAATATAATGAAATGATGCATTTCAAGCAATAGATGAAAAACACTCTCATTTCTTAAGCAGCACAACATGTAAGATATATTTTTATTGTACTATTGTTTTAACTCTTTTAAAAAAAATCAATGACCAGCAAATAACAAAGGACAGAAAAATAGTTGGTTGTGTTCGGGTCTTTGCCTACATACAGCCCTGCATTCAGTGTCTCCTCTTGCTCCGTGGGTATAAATGAATAAAGCTAATTCAACAATGATGCTAAGATCCTCAATGTGCACTGCTGCCCTGGAAGAGCAGTGTTTCCAGTTGGATAAGCTGATGAGTTTCAGTGTGACACAGACACTGCTGCCTGTCAACTTCCTAGGAAAAACAGGTGTCTCGATTTTAGAGTAGGGCAATCACTTGTGTATGTTGACACATGTGGGTCCTGATATAGTGTTAAGTCCAAAATGTATCCATACTTACTTGGATTAAAATAAGTTTAATTCAACCAGGGAGTTCATTTGTCATAAAGATAATGCAACAATGTAAAGGACCAGTTCTGGAATAAGAAAACCTTTGTTTAGTTTATATTTTATTAAAAAAAAAAAAAAAAATCTTCATTTCAACAGTCGAACAATTCTTTGCTGGACTGCACTTCCCATGTTTCCAGTGTTATTTTGAGTTATCGCTGATGATGAGCTCCAGGTCTTCGGACCTGGAAGGGCTCCGTAACATCTTTCTAATGTTCACCTCATTCCACACACATTCTCTATCAGATTCAAGGGAAGACTGTGGCAGGGCAGTTCTGAAACATTCGTAGTTCTAAACCCCACTTGCTGCCACCACCAGGAAAGTGTTTGGAGTACTATCTACCAGCTTGTACAGTCATATTCAATACATTAGAATATGAATCCCAATGAAGCTCATTTGTCAGACTGAAAGTAACTTCTGGAAATTGACTATTTTTTAGCAGGTACTAAACATACTTTTCACTAAGATTACATTTCTGTAATTAAAAGTTGTTTTTTTATTGGTCGGTAATATTCCAATTTTTAGTACTATGGTTTCATTATAATTAAGAGAAGTAAGGCTTTCAAACATCCATCTGCATGTAATTAATCTATATGTGTTTCACCTAGTGATAACGTTCCTGAAATAAATAGACTTTTCAATAATATTTTAATTTATTGAATTTATTAAACTAAGCATTTGCAATGACATTGTTTCCTGAAAGCTCTAAATGGATGGGGGTTCTGAGGTTTTTGTTATTAAGATTACATGTTTGTTCTCATTTATTTTGCTTTAGATTTGTTACAGACTCTGCTTTAACATTAACAATTTTTGACATCTATAACACGTGCAAGTGAAATAAGTAAACTGGGGAGGGCTAAACGTTTACAAGTAAAGACTGGTTTTTGTTTTCCAAACGAATCCCGAGCTACAAAGAAGTCCCTCGAGCAGCATTTTTCCATTTCAGCAGACAATACGACAGGCTCATGTGTCAGTGCACATGGGCCAAAACTAACATGGCAACACACAATTAGAGCCCTAATAAATTAGGGCACATTTAACAGCAGCAGCATGTCAACATGGCCCAGAATAGGGCCTGCGTGCAGCATATCGAAGATACAGTGCCTACGTGCTGGAAACAAACTAATGGGAAGCAATTTGGAATTGGCCCAAGATTTAATTACTGTCCCCACCTTCTCTGTTCAATGAGGTCTGCGGCCTCCTGGGAGAGGCCTATTTCAGTCAGGTAATGGAGAGCCCATGCCCAGAAGTGGATGATCAAATTGTCTGAAGCAATCTGCTTTTTTGCACTTATATTGTCCCCAAAGACTGAATGAGCTGACCCAAAGATTTCTAAGCCAACTTTTAGAGCAGTTCTCCATTCATTGCTGTTTAGTGGTGGGATTGTTTTTGGGATAGGATTTGAGTTAGCAGCCAAACCATGTGAGTTTACTTTGGTAAACAGGACTATAGAACAAACATACATCATTTTTGGAATGTCGTTACGATATCCAAAGCTAAAGAAAAACATTAGTCTTAAATGAGAATAAAATTATTCAAAATGAAACCACCACACAAGTGCTTCTATTAAAAACAAGGATTGCAGTAAATAGGAGAGCTCTTGCATAACAAACATATGTATCAAAAGTGGTTGTGGCTGGTCTTCTGTATAAACTACACAAGGATTTTTCATTATTTTCCCATTCTGATTCGCACACAAGAAAAGCACTTAAGGACAAAGAGGTAGCACCAACGGCAATATCGAAAACATTGAATACTGATAAAAAAAAGACATGTTCACGTTCCTTCTCTTAATACAAAGGAAATATAACGGGTCCAGATGAATAATGCAGAATTGGAATACATTTTCAAGCATGTGTTACAGACTAAGATCAAAAATTTTAATTGTCAGACTATTTTGCAGAAATCAATAATTGCAACACGTCATCCTAACAAAGTACAGAGTGGATTCATTAAATGCATTTTTTAGGCTTTTTTTCTTGAGATTATGTAAAGTGAAATGAACTGTAGAACTGTATAGAATACTGTCAATGTGAATACTGTTTCTATGTTCACCAATAATTACCTTGTGTGATAATAGCGTGCAAAGAACATAATTTCAAACAGCCTCAAAATGTTTGTTAGGCTATTTACTTCTTTTTCTTGATTTTTAACATTAGAGGAGGGCTGGGGTGTGTGTGAAATAAATGTCATTAACGTAAGAGTAGGGGGAGGGAGTGATAATCTGACGTAACTGCAGGGAGCGCCATGATATGGGATATTTACGGGAAATACTTATACAGGAGCATGGCAGGAAACTGTAGTTTCCCGACCAAAACGGAAGTCTTGACAGGTATGCACTGTAGCGGTTTGGAGTTGTCTTAACTGGGTTTCTGGTTTTAATTACAATGGTATTGATTCTCAATACATGAAATGCCCTTCATAATTGATGAATAAACAGTGCTGTGCCCTCTCACTCGTTTCTTAACCTCCTTTCTTTCTGTGCGCCTCACAGACATCTACACCTCCAGATGCAGGAAAAGGGCCTCCTGCATCATGAAGGACCCTACTCACCCAGCACACTCACTTCTTGTCCCGCTCCCCTCAGGTAGGAGGTTGCGGAGCATCAAATGCAGGACAACCAGATTGAGAAACAGCTTCATACCAGAAGCTGTGCGACTCTTAAACTCCCATCATTCTCCCTTATTGCACTGCTCTTAGCTATACACTTTTCCTACTTGTAATATTGTGCTCTTGCAGCGATTTTATATTTTATATTTTATACTTTTATATTTATATTTTTATATTTGGATGTAACTGGGGCTGTGACTCTCAATTTCGTTCCACCTCATGTGATACGTGATGTGAATGACAATAAAGTATCTTGAATCTTGAATCTTGAATCTTGAAATGTCTTCTTGCTGTGTAATGACTTTTACATGTATAAGAAATAACAGAAGGAAATCTCTATGAGAAAGTCGTCTAGCAATCTTCTCTGTGTTTTTTTGTGAACATCTCAGTTAGGAAGATCCACGTGGTCACCTACGACGCATTTAGATACCTGGGCTGGGAACCCTTGAAATCCAATCACTCAGTGCAGATGTTGATGGTGTTTTCCCCAATTAAATTCCTTAGGTATTGTGTAAAATCAACTTTTTGAGCTTTATCTTCTATTATTCTCTCATCAAAAACCTATCTGGACAGTTGCTTTGATTCTTTCATGCATTTAACTGAATTAAATTTAATTTAATATTTTAAAGGCTTGTTCATACAAAGGATAGTTTATTTAAACAGCTCCACCTGACGAGCAGCAACAGCAATTAGCAAACACCTGGTGGAACTGCAAGTCTGCTGAGCTTATCATACTCCTCAGTTCAATGCTCATGAGAATGATTGTAAAGGGCATCATGAAGAAGCATGGTTGTCATAACATGGGGGAGAGTCAGAGAAGTAGACACTTAAAGAGACACATTGCAAAGTAATTTTTATAGCAATTGAACTAACAATTGCTTGATGGTGATAATGACTATTTTCCTGAGATGAAGTCAATACTTCAGGCAAATGAATTAAATATTGACTGGAAAATACATAGCGAAACACGTAACACCTATTAATGCTGATTATACATTTCTCAGTATTCAGTCATATTCAGTAAATTGGAATATTTGTCAGCTTAAGCTTGTCGGATTAAAACTACCTTCTGAAATAACAACCATCAGGCAGATATTAAACATTTATTAAACTTAAGCCCACACTTATGTTTTTTTTTTTTTTTTTTTCTCTCATCAGTCTGTTATTTTAATCATAAGTGCCATGTTTCTATTAGCTGCAAGTGAAAAATCATCATAATTAACAAAAAGCTTAAAAAATCCATGTGTAATCATATGACGTTATACTTTGTGAATTATGTTACAGAAACAAATTAAACTTATGAGTATAACAGTCTCTAGCTTTCCCACTGCTTTTCTAGATTATTGTTCCCATTTTGGTATTTCCTTGATCTATTGAGGGCTTAATGTCTGATGGATTTCCAAATGAGCCCTGGTATGCATATAAATCAATGTTTTTTGTACAAACAGATCTAGATGTTTGGCACTCTGTACTAAATAGAGACATATGTATAGATTACTGTATTTTAAAGAACGCATATGTGGCTACTTTGTCATTTGTGGTTTAACAAGATCAAAGGCAATTTATTAACAAAATGCCTCATTAACTAATTTGTATGAGAGAATAAAATACACAAATAACTCTTCTACCAACCCACAATACCGGATGATAAAGGAAAATAAAAGGTAGTACATCTAAATCCATGCCACACAATAATCACATTGTTTGTTGTAATTAAACTCTGCAATCCCCAGTGGTTAGTGAAAGAGACTTCACTAAGAGGAAACATGTCACAAGTTCCCAAAGGGTTGTTTGTATTGTTAGTGATGGTTTTTCAATGCTGTGGATTTTAATCTTTCTTTCATTGGCACATGGTCCCCAGGCCTGTTCTGCATTGACCTTTCCCAAGTCGTATTTTAAAGACCAGAAATGAATGAATGACTCCTGATGTGAGGACATATTGTCTTTAAATCCCTGTGGAAATTAAGCTCAGCACAAATGTTTAGCCTCTTTTACCCTCTTTAAGAGTTTTTTAATGAAACTTAAAGAAACCCCTTAAAATTAGCAATCAACTGTAAAACTTGAATGTTTGTGAAGATGAGTCACTTTTATGTTTTTTTTTTTTTTTTTTTTTGTTGCGCAACACTGTGTAAAATAAATAGCATTTGTGAGACTTGAGGTCACATCTGATTTAAAGCTAGGTATAAATATTGTACTGTAAAACAAGGATCTCGATCTGGATCATACGCTCTGATGGAAAATGACCAACAAAAGCAAATACATTTTAGCATATCTCAAACAACTGCATTGCTACTTTTGCCCTCAAAACACAATCATAGCACCTATATTAGAAACAAGCAGTTGTTGGAGAACATTTTATCATAATCATAGACTCCTTCCCTCAGGGTGAGCCTCCACTTCTTCATGGCGCTTTGACACCAGAGGTTAGCGAGAGGTGAGTGTCTCTCTATCTTGAGCGCATAGAAGACTGGATTTTCACATCTGTGCTGGCCCTGAAGGCTATCAGGTCTCGGCATCTGTGCCATGAAAATGCTCCGTGTCCAGTGTCCCCCTTAATTCATCATCACCCTTATAATGTCTGAAAGAAATATGCGGCTGTAAGTATCATCTTTCACGGGTGTCACAGGTTGAGCTCACCATTTGTTCTGGATGCCATAAAGTTCATGTAGGTTTTTATGGCAAAAAGTGCAAGAAAATATGAGTTCAGCAGTTAATTTCATTTTACAAAAAGAAGGGAAAAAGGCCATTGTCAGTTGGAAAAGCAGTATAATTCTTTAGAGGAAAAGGGTGATATACTGCTTGTAACACACAAAATCTTGTTTTAGGTTAGTTTTTGACTGTCCCTTTCCTTTATTTCATTATTTGGTCTTTGCTCTCTTATTTAATTGCTTTAAGAATCATAGGAATTGTCCCTTTTCTCTTACATAGGTTTCTGTTCAAATACAGGATTTTTTTATTTTTATTGTGTCCTGTCCTCACAGATGATGAAAACAGTATGGTGGGTCTGGTCACCTTTACACATTGGGGTCGCTTTGTTCAACAAAAGGGGAAGAACAAAATATTTTGCTTGTGATATCTGATTTTATTAAGTCAGTCATAAAACGACCACATTTGGTTCAGGCAGCAAATGAAACATCCAGTGCCAGTTAGTCTAAATCTACCAGAGCTATAATGAGTAACTGTATTTCAAGATTTGTTAAAATCTTGTAGCATAAAACTCTGTTCTAAAATTTAACTTTGTCAATTTATTTAATTTACTGAATAGGTGTAAAAGAATAAAAGTATAAATTGCAAAGTGTATTTCTAAAACGCAAACATGCAAAGCTAGAATGCTGTAAGACTGTAGCAAGCCTAAAACGATGGTCAGCTCTTTTATTTCACTGATGGAACATAAACTCCATCTGGTTTTGCTAAATAATTAGGGATCTCACATGGCGATCAGCATTTTTATTTTATTTTTTTTTCCTTTCAAGACATGCAAGAACAAGGTGAAAAAGGTCCTCACCACATGGGGGCACATGGTTTCACACAAATGGACCACACTTTTTTCTGACCAGATGGATATTTACATGTACTTGGTTCTCTACCTTTCTATGTTTTCTTTTTACATTTCAACTGTAACCACTGAAAAAGAATGAAACACCACACCTTTACTAAAACCACTACACTGAAACACTGTAATTTCTTTACAGTGAAACAACCTTTCCTTATAGTGGCGTCACTATAATACAGATGGTAATAATCACATCCACCAATGTGTGCACATTTGCCTAGAAGGAATGGTGATAAAATAATGAAGAATAATTTCATCCACACTGATGCACGATGACAACAGTGCAAAAATAGCAATACGCTTCTAGGGAAATTATACTCTTTTCTGTTTGGTTGAGAGTGACATGACCTGAGCACACAATTCCTCACATCTGCTGTCAGAGCAGAATATTTGGAGTTTTAACATGGACAGTGACGGTAGGCATAACATAATGTATAGCAGAATAATGGAAATAATTAAAAATAGCTCAAAGTATGAAGCTATTTGAGCAATTTTAGTTGGGTAGGAATAAATCTTTAACATCCATGTGTCATTTGTAAATGCCTTACCTTGTTTGGAGTCATGCAGGGGATAGTATTTATCTTGATAGAAAAATAAATCAACTGTGGACAGGTCAACAGTCCAACACAAAGTTGCTGGATCTTTGGTGGAAAGTAAAAAAAAAAAAAAAAGCTTTAAGCTGAAACAATAAAAACAAAAACAAACAAAAAAAAAAAAACATAAAATGGTGCCGAGATATTACCATTATTTTCCAGAGTCTGTAGACATGTCTAACTATACTGCTAAAAAAAAAAATAAAGGGAACATTTCACTTTAATTTTGTGTGTGGCTCCAAATCCAGGCCTCCATTGGTTAATAAATTTGATTTCCATTGATGATTTTTGTGTGATTTTGTTGTCAGCACATTCAACTTTGTACAGAACAAAGTATTCAATGAGAATATTTCATTCATCCAGATCTAGGATGTGTTATTTGAGTGTCCCCTTTATTTTTTTGAGCAGTGTTTAAGGATTCAATGACATGACTGACAAGACAGAAACTAACATTTTTTTTTTTTTAGAAAAACTTTTTATTGCTGCATATTCTCTCAGATAATTGTCTTTAACTCGGTTTACAACAATATCTCTCATAAAAAGAATATACAATTGGTGAAAGATAATGAACTTGTACTGCTTAGCATACATTGGCCGGTAAATGCAGGGTTTGTAGCAGTGATTTTCTTTTTTTTTTTTTTTTTTTCAAACCCCTTCACATATGTGCCTTGAGCTTCACATGCACATGAGGCATACTCATTTCAATTAGCACCAAAGCAAGACTGCTATGGAATTCTTTTTTTGGAAATGTCAAAACATTCGTTCATTCCTTGCACTTTCTCACGTGTAAGTTGCAGAGTTTGGGTTGCATCCTTTCCACCTGTATTGAAGTCCTTATCACCATTGCCTGCTTAACAATCCAAACAACATGCATCTTCATAACCAGCTTCTCTATTTCCATCTATTTCCATCTACATGGGACCCCCTAATGTCCTCGCCATCAGCAGTAGCATAATTAGCTCCATCATCAACACTGGCAGTATTGCCATTGTCACTACCTAAGCAGAAGTCTTCATCTGGTTCATGTCACAGTCTTCTTGTGAGTTTGCAACTTCCCACCCTCTCCAGAGTGCTTTCTCCTACACGTTTTCTAAACGTGGCTTTTATACCAGTCTTCTG